TTATCTGCCATAGTGGCAGGATTCTTCGTCATGAGGAATCTCACATTCAACCCCGACCTCGAAAACTTGTTCCTCTCAGATTCTGCTTCTACTTCTGATCAGCTTCAAGATCAATCTACATCCCCCTCCTTCTCATCCAAGGCTGTATCTGCCGCTGCATCAGGATTCTGGACGTTCATTGACATGGCAAGTGGACGCTACCTTTGGAGGACTTTCGTGTCTTCTTCTTCTTCTTCCACATCTTGATTGGTTTTAGTTGTTGTTGCAGCTCTCATCGGTTGTATTTGATTTGCTTGCTGTACTTACATGATGTGTATTTTCTTTATTCTTGGTTTCCATTAATTGTGTTAGAAATGTACCCACGATTCAATTTAGTATAAAAAGTTTTTTTGTCTTTACGTGAATTTTAATGGAGCTTGAAAGCTTTACACAAATGCACTCACAATACAAAGAGACATGCTCTGCCTACTTCTGTATATATTAAACAAAAAGAACATGCCACTAAAACAGAAACAAATTTGATATATCATCGGTGAGAGTTTAAAACCAAAGGTAATAAAAAATAGTAGTATCCACACTAAATCAAATCAAGTTCAAATTCTTGCATTCATTGTAGTTTGTAATCGCCACAATGATCAATACTTCTCAACAATAAACCAACAAAGTACGTATCATCACATACTACAATTAAATCTACCACCGTTTTTTTTCCCCTTGTTATGAATCCTGAGGTGAGACCAATTGCACAGGGAGTGCCAGAGAAGGCTGTTGCTCTTGCTGCCCTAGTTGGGGTGGCTCTTGTTGCTCTTGTTGTTCCTCCTGCTGCGGCTGCCCTAGTTGTGGCGGCTCTTGATCTTGCTGCCCTAGTTGGGGTGGCTCTTGTTGCTCTTGTTGTTCCTCCTGCTGCGGCTGCCCTAGTTGTGGCGGCTCTTGATCTTGCTGCCCTAGTTGTGGTTGTTCTTGCTGCAGCTGCTCCCCTTGCCAAGTCCAAACAATGTCCTTCAGAGCTGGTCTAATATCCTTTTTCATGACCTTCTGATACTCTAATGTATCTCCACTACACTTCTTCACTTCCACCAAATGAAAAAACGGGGTGATCTCAAAGATTTCAGTTTCAATGCCCAACACCCCCTTCCTGCCTTCTGTGGATCCTTCCATTTTCAACAACCCTCCATCCCTCTTCTTTATTTTCAGTCTCAGACGCTTTGCAATGTCCTCCAGCTTAGAGATGATGGTTGGGGCTGTTTTGTTGGATGTAAACCGCACTTCCTTTTTCTGTTCAGTCTGCTCAAACAACCCTGACAAGTCAAAGCCTGCAGAGTAGGAGATGATATCAAAAGCATTCAAGTTAGACGGCTTTGCTAATTCTTGCTTTGACTCCACAGCAGAATTGCCACCTTCGCTAGGTCCAAAAATTGCATCAACATCCAGAGGGGCTGGCTCTTTCACTGGTACTTCAGCAATTACAGGTTTTTGGACCAGGCCCTTCCGAAACCAAGAATTCTGCATAATTTTGGCGATCGATATCCGAGTTTTTGGATTCGGGTCCAAGATCTTTGACAGCAACTTCCGTACCTCCGGAGAAAACCAGTTAGGGAATTTAAAGTCGCCCTTACCAATCTTCCTATACATCTCCATCAGATTTGAATCATGAAACGGAAGATAGCCAGCCAACAGAACATACAATATCACCCCACATGACCAAATGTCAGCTTTGGTACCATCATAGCCCTTCCTGTTTATTACTTCTGGAGCAACATATGCAGGGGTCCCACAGGTTGTATGAAGCAACCCATCTTGGCGCTTAGATTCACCAAGGGCACTCAATCCAAAATCTGAAACCTTCAAATTTTCATTTTCATCCAAAAGTAGGTTTTCTGGTTTCAGATCTCGATGGCAGATGCCTCGACTATGGCAGTAATCGACAGCACTGATCAGCTGTTGAAAATATTTCCTAGCAACATCCTCCTTTAGCTTTCCTTTGGAAACCTTGTTGAAGAGCTCACCACCTTTAACATACTCCATGACAAAGTAAATCTTGGTTTTGCTGGCCATTACCTCATAAAGCTCCACGACATTGGGATGTCTAATTAGTCGCATGACAGAAATTTCTCGCTTAATCTGA